CCTGCTGGATATATATACCCTCCGCGCCTTCCCTTACACTTCACATGTATGCAAGATGGCGTATGAGCGGCTTGAAAGATGCCTCTCGCTCTCCCTCTCTCCAACTCTCTCTTTCTCTCTCTCTTTCTGATTTTACTTGTTGCTGCTTTTATTGTTGTTTGTTTTTGTTATTGTTGATGCTGTTGTACCTGTTGTTGTTGCTGTTTTTTTTTCTTCTTTCTCTTCTTTTTCTTCTTCTTCTTCTGCTTTTTCTTTTTCTTCTTCTTCTTCTTCTTCTTCTTCTTCTTCTTCTTCTTCTTCTTCTTCTTCTTCTTCTTCTTCTTCTTCTTTCTATTCCTCGCTCTCTTATTACTCTCTCTCTCTCTCTCTCTCTCTCTCTCTCTCTCTCTCTCTCTCTCTCTCTCTCTCTCTCTCTCTCTCTCTCTCTCTCTCTCTCTCTCTGAAATGCCAGAAGCTTAGTGCCCACTTCAGAATCTTTAGATCAAGTACCGAGTGACGAGTTTTCTGTCTTTTCAGCACAGAGATCAGAATTCTGAAGTCATCGCCAAGACGGTTCTAGAACATGAAAAGATATGATATAGATACGAAATGATCAGACAGGTGATATATAAAAAAAGAAAAAAAAAACGGAGACACGACGCAATAATTAAGGACGATATATCATAACAGTCCCTCGCCAGCGCTGCCAGAGAAGGTGCTCTCGTTTTTGTACCTCGCATGCTGGCAAATAAGCGACGAAACGATACACACACATCATTACTATACCTAATTAACATGTAATTACTAGACGAGCTCGTCAAGGCATTCAATTCACTTTTTTTTGTCCCAAAGACTACCAAACAAGGCAGCGGAACCTTCCACATAACATCGTCACACATTGTAGCCCGTTTCGCTTTGATAAACAACTGGTTATCTTATACTGCCTCTGACGCGAGGGCGCAAAGGCTTGAGACCCTCATCAACAGCTGATGCCACAACCCGGGACTTAATTAGAGCAACGCTTGGTAAGTCTATATATAGAGTGTATGGAAGTCATAGCGGGAGGGCGTACCAGTACGGAAACTGCTACCCATCCCCCCTCGTTTTTTTTTTTTTTTCGTTTTTTTTTTTTTTTTTGCGGTTAAAATGCCCGGGTATTTTGTAAATGGAGTCAGTTGGAATCATGACTCAATATCTTTGTATATACAAATATATGTATGTAATAGTGTTTTGTATATGTTATGTATGCGTCTCTTGACAGATGGATAGACGTCAAAAAAGTATCTACTGCTGACTGTCAAGAAGACAAATCAATAAAAAAAAAAGAAAAAACTAAACACTCAACAAAATTCTAAACAAAATAAAAAAAAGGAAAACAAAAATACTTCAAAACAGCAACAGCATCCCCATTTCCCTTCCAACAACAACAACAACAGCAACAACATTTTACCACCATCAAACTCTAAAGTCAAGAGCCTCCCATACACAGAGGACCTGCGTCGCGACCTCCTCACCCGGATACAGCCGGAAGACGCCGCTGGAGGGAGACTCTCGACGCACCAGACACTTATCTCTGAGAAAAAGTGCTATTACGTAGCGTGATTGTGTGTTTGGTTGTGTATTTGTTTGTTTGTGTGTGTGTGTTTGTGCGTGCGTGGGTTTTTCTTTGAGTGCGTGTCTGTTTGTTTGTTTGTTTGTGTACGTGTGTGTATGTTTGTTTATGTATTTGTTTGTTTGTGTGCGTGTGTTTGTTTCTGTGTGAGTGTCTGTTTGTTTGTCTGTCTGTGTGCGTGTGTGTGTGTTTGTGTGTGTGTCTGTTTGTTTATGTCTGTTGGTGTTTGTTTGTGCGTGGTATGTGAATGCATGCGAATTAGGGAGACATAAAGAGAATATATGGAAGGAAAGACAGAGAGACAGGAGGAAAGAGGGAGAGCGATAGTGAAAGAAAAAAAGACGAAAGTGAAAGTGAAATAGACGAAACAGAAGGCACCCCCCCCCCCAATAAAAACGAAGATGAAAGACAGAGAGGGAAGAGGAAAAGCAAACAACAACAAAAAGAAAACGTGAGTGATAACGGGAGGATCAGAAAGAGCAAAAGAAAAAATCACTGATAAGACCAAAGAGAGAGAAAATAAAGATATGGAGCAAAAGGGGAGGAGAGAAAGAGGGAAGAAATTATACCATAAAATGAAGAAGGGAAGAGAGAAAGGATAGGAGGAAGGAAGTAGGAAGTTATGGAATAGAGGAATGGAAAAAGGCGAAAATCACGGAAGAAAAAAAGGAACAGAAAAGAGGGAATGGAAAAGTAGAGCACAAGGAAGACAGGAAGAGAGATAAGGTATTTTTTTAATTGGCAAAAGATAAAAAAAAAAGGTTTTAGCAATCTCCTCCGGATAAAATGTTATTGAAAACGGCTACCGTTAAAAAAGAGAAAGATTAAATATGTTTTCCAGAATTGAAATTCGTTATCAAACAATTTCATGCATAGGTTCGCGAACTGAATTAACTTAATCAACGGAAA